TGCCATGTCCACACAGAAATACGCAGAGCGAGGGTTGTGACTAGTGCAGTGCAAGGCCCATGTGTCCCTTTCTGAAAGCTGTGCCCAAAGATGCATTAAGTAGTAATCATTAAACTGCATGCTGCTGCTCCTCGGATGGGTTGTTGTAGAGGGAGAATAAAATGGTCCCGAGGAATTCATGGCATGTGCGATGCCTTGCCCAGGCAGCTGTGCTGTCCTGCTGCAGATCTTGGTGTGTTGATCTCCAGCTGCATCACTGGGGCACGTGTGGAGGACCAGCCACCATCCATACCATGGCCAACCCTCTGGCTGCACCTAGAGATCATTGAGAAGAAGGAGCTGCTCATGCTGGGTCCCTTGTAGCGTGTTATCTGGAGCATTTAAATTTACTTCTTCATGCAAAGCCCACCCTGTCCCCGCCACGCAGCTCACGGGCTGTGCTGGACTCTAGCGCACGTCCTCAGGGAGGTCATTCCTGGAGGTGACGCTCCCGAACGTGTTGGGTGGACACTGGGAATGAAGGTCCTCGACGCTGCCCTCCAGCATTGGAAGAGCTGCCTGCTTCTCTGTGGAGCTGAAGCAGGACTCGTTTCAGCCATAAATACAGAGGTTTCTGCCCAGCGCGGTTTACCAGGGGAGCGACCAAAGTGTGCAGCTGGGAGCACATGGAAAGAATTCCAGGTGCCGTGTCCGGATGAGCTGGGGACGGATGCATCCGTAGCCCTTCCCCCGGCAGCTCCCTCGCGAGCGTTAATGCGATTTGCTCACCCGACCTGGCAGCAGCCTCTGAGCTGCTCTCAGAACCGGGGGGAAACCGAAACGCGCTCGCAGGAAGGAGGCCGGTTCTCGCGCGGCGGCGCGGGCGCTCCTGGCTGCGCGGCGCCTGCGGCCCCCGTGCTCAGTCTGGTGCGTTTTACGGACCATTTGGTAATGTGCTGCCCCCGAGGACGTGTCGAGATGGGAAGACGGCATCGCGGGAGCTGCGGATCCTTCCCAGCGCCACGACTCCTCCTGCAGCCGCCCCGTCTGTGGCGGTGGAAGGAGGCGCTGGGGAAAGCCCATCTTGGCTTCCAGCGCTAAGGAAAAGCCTCCGAAGCTGATGCTGGGAGCTGGGCGAAGCGTGCGGCTGGGGTTCTTCATCTCTGCCTCTGCTCCCGGCCTGTTCTTCATGCAGTTTGGCTGTCCCGTGTCCTGCAAGGCCAGGGAGTCACGCTCTCCACGTGCAGGAAACTGAGGAACATGCCAAGAGTAGAGCCTTCAGGAGCTCCATCTGCCCAGCAGCATGTGCGGGTTTTATTTGCAAAATAAAACAAGATTCACAATAGACCCGATCTGACATAATGCCAAGGGCAGGTATTGGATGTGCCTATCGCAATTCCTGGAGTTGGGGAAAATGCACCGAAATCCAGACTGGTCGTAGGCCTCATCATTCCGTGAGCAAGGAGCAGAGGGAGGCTCCCAAAAGCAACAAGGGAAAGTCTGTGGCACTAAGATCACCCGTGAAAGCATCTGGATTAGCTTGTATTGAGCACGCATGGGTGTGCAGAGCCCACCCGCACGCAGGGAACGTGGGTTTGAAACCCGGACACCGGAGAAATTCACAGAGAAGCCCCAAATCTGCCCAGCTCAACAAAACAGATCAATTAGCATGGATTGTATTAAGATTACGGCTCCCCTGCTAATCTTTTTGGGGGAAACTTGGACACAAGATTTAACATTTTGACCATCCCACAGTTGGAAAACCCTGTATCTGCCAGAAATCGGCAGGAATGGGGCAGGGGGAGGCTGGGGTGGGATTGATTTCCTGCTAGGACACAGTGCGAAGTCCAGAAGGCGCCACCAGAGGGTGGTGCTGCTATTCCCAAGATTATCCAGGTTTTCCGAGGCTGCCTGCCTTGCTCGGGCTCCCGTTCACACATCCCGCATGGCATCTCCTGCAAGGTTCAAGGTTAGGAAGCGCTCCTGGGATCCAAACGGGGCGAAGGCCTCTGGGGATGGAAAAAGGAAAACCGAAAGCCCTGGAGTCCAGATATGTGGAAAAGGGGACAGTGTGATCCGGTGGGAGAGCGTGCATGGGCCCAGAGGGGGTTTGTGCAGCCGCAAATGCCTCAGGGGCATCAAGAGAGACGCACGAGGCTCCGTGCAGCTCTCGAGAGGCTCCAGTGTGGTACAAAACGGTCCCTTTTCCCCAAAATGCAATGGAGCCACCAGCAGCGGCAGCACCAAGGAGGAGATGGGAGCCACAAACTGCTGAGAGAGACTCGGGGCGCTGATTAACGCTCACAATTAGCACGAGCCAACCCCAAATCCCCAAACCCTCACCCCAAAATAGCTCTTCTGCCAATGCCTTGGAACAAAACAAACCCCCCAAGCCCCAAACACACCGTTTTTTTCCTCCTTTGCCACTGCGGGCTCGGCGAGGGGCGCACACTGCAATAATTCCGGTCCTTTATTGCGTATTGCCGTCCTAGAAAATGTACAGTCTCATGACATTACACAGCAATTCCTGGCAGCTACCACTAACAACGTTCTTGCACCTAACAGGCTAACTCAGTCACTACGAAGCATAATAAGGTCCAAGACATAAACTTCAGTTTACAAATTATTACAGATTTTTTTTTTCCTTTTTGGTATGAGAAAAAAAAGTTTTCTTGAAAATACACACCCAAGAGAAAAAAAGAGTGACTACTTACACCAGCACCGACCTACAAGTAGTTTCCAACAATGGCACATGGAATTACCTGCACAGAGCCTCTGCTTTTATTTATAATATATATATACTTTTTTTTTGTTATTTTTTGGAAAGAAAAACAGAGAAATGGCAAATGCAGCCCCGCAACGAGGCTGCTGTGAAGCACAGGAGGGCCTGGGAGGGCACGAGGACGAGTGTCACGGGAGGTCACCAGGACCCCACGCACAGCGACGGATCCTCCAAGTCCCCCGCAGCCTCCGACGCAAACACGTGAGCAACCATTCCTTAAACCATCAGATGCCAGGATTTTCATTTGCTTTTTTTCCTTTTTTTCTCTATATTTTTTTAAATTTCCCCCAGAAGTCCGTTCCCTCAATCGTATCATCAGCCCCGTTTTTTTTTTATATATATTTTTTTTCAGCATAAATAAAAAATATAAATAGAGGCACTTTAGTTAAGGAATAGTATTAGCATTACCTTTCTTGTCTTTATTTCCCCCTTCCTTCTAAAAGCAAAGTGCTTAACTCCACCTTGGAAAATAATCTGCAGGTTTTGCAGCTGCTTGGACACGAGGTGCTGGACTTTTTTGCTTGTTTTTCCTTTTGCACTTACCTGCTTTATTTGTTACTGCTTTAAATGCTACTCGGAAAGTCTTTTTCTTTTTTTCTTTTTTTTTCTCTTTAATCTACAGTGCGTCAAAAGTTGCAATGAAGAAAAGAACAAAATGGTAAAACCACAGCTCTTGACAACTCTGTTTAGAGTGATATTTCACAGCTTTCACACAGCACACAGACCCCACGGCCTTCAGGTGCTTAAAACCATAGTTTCTTTTATACAAATTAGTTTAAACAGCACTTTTGCTATACAGTACATATAGGAAACTGACAACCCAATACCCCACCGGTAATACCGTTTATCCGACAAAAAAAAGAAAAATCTTATTTCAAATAGTGTTAATACCTAGTGCAACAGGGACAAACTCATCTCTCCACAGGAAAAAGAACAAACAAACCCAAAAGAAAAAAAAAAAGGGTCACAAAAGTATTGATGGTATAAAAAGGTTTTGTTTTCTTAAAAAAAACACATCACAAATAAATAAAAACAAAAAAAGTAACAGTCCTCTATATATTCAGCATAATTTAAGAATAGAAATGTTAATATGTTAATGGCGTTTACTTTTTCTTCTCCAATTCTTAATTTTCTAAACCTTTAAATTATTACTCCCTGAGAGCTCTGAATCATTATTATCATTATTATTATTAATTATTATTATTATTTTTCTTCTTTTTGGACTAACATTTTACAGGTAGTTCTGCTCACAGATCTGCAACGACAACGAACAGCGAACCATCTGGAAGAGGAAAAAAAAAAAAGGAAAAAAAACAAAAGGAAAAAAAAAAGGATGCTGCTAAGAGACGGAAGTTTCTTGGCGATGCTGCTCCTGTGTGTCCGTTTAAAAATACATGTATGTGTATAAAATGATAATAATGAAATAACGATGGGTGCAGCGCGGCGCGCCGGGAAGCGAGCGGGTCGGTTTGGCAGCAGCCCCCGGTACCCGGAGCGACGCCGTGTCCTGGCCGGCCTCGAGAGGATGCAGTTTGTCCCAGGGAAGGGAAGCAGAGGAATCGCGACGCGCTGCCAGGGCCACCAGCACCTTCTGGGTGTCTCCTTCCGTTAGCAGGACCGTGGGTGGAGGTAGGAGGAAAAGGAATGTTTCCTCCCCCAAAAACAGCTTGGAGAGAATCATCGGCAGAGTTTACGGACCAGAACTCAGGAATCAGCACAAAAGCACAGACGTTCAAGTTTTTGAAATAACAACGAAGAAAAAAAAACAAAAAAACAGACTGGGTTCACTCCACCTTTCTTATTTTTTCTTTTTTTTTTTTTTGCCGGGGGAGGAAGAGGCTC